CGAACTCCAAAGGGACTCTCTACCCTCCTGCACCTGCTTCAACACTGCGCCAGTACCCACCTCCGGCATCTGTTTCGATGATCAGCGGCGTCCCTGGGACAGGCGTACGGAGCAAGACTCACCGGCTACCGCCTGCTTGAGCTCCCTGAACGCCTGTCCGACTTGACGAGCAACCTGCCCTTTTTCAGCAACTCGAACAGCGGGGCAGTGTACTCGGCGAATTGCGGGATGAAGGGTCGTAGGTAACCAACGGCTCCTAGGAAGCTCCTAGCGTGCGATCGTCGAGTACCTCCTCGAACGCCGTGTCCATCGCGCGCCGGAACTCTGCTGGCGAGTTCTTAATCCCGAAGGGGATGAACTCGAACAGCCCAAACGGTGTGATGAACGCGGTGAGGTGCTTGCTCTCCTCCGCTATCGGCACATTCCAGAATCCCGAGAGTCGTGAAGCGGCGACGGCCAGCTGCGGCCCTCAAGTGGTCCCATATTCGGGGCAGCGAATACGAGTCGGCAGTTCACCCTCCGTGTCCCGGCTCGTATTTGGTTCACCCTCCGTGTCCCGCGCCCTCCACGAATACCTGCCGCTGCGTCTCCAAGGGATCCTCCTCTGCTACTGGTGGCTGCTGTTTGTACTTTTCCGCAAGCCGTATCTCGTCAACTGCGCCTCTCTGCGCCGCCAGGACGAACGCCTTCCGGGACCTTCTCTCAACAAACCGAACCGTTCCAATTCTACGGTCCCCCGGAGGTTCGGGACGGATGGTTGGTCATGCACCGCGAACTCTACTTCTTCCGTCTCGCCGTGCACTGTTACCGGTACTGGCCACTGTTACCGGTGCTGGCCACGTCACGGGTAATGATCCTGAACTGTGCTCACGCTGTGTTGTCGGACTGTGCTCACGCTGCGACACTCTTACGCCAGCGCGACCACAATCCTATCTCCTCAGCAGGCTCACCAGTGTCCTGCTGGAAGGAACTCAACCTTCACCTCACCAAAAATTTCGCGCGTCTTCCCCCACCGCTCTCCAACCACGGCTCCTGCGAGTTGTGGTGCCACCCCGTTCGTTGTGGGCTCCGTTTGGCTCACGGTCCGCCCTGGGGGGCTGTCCATCGGGCCACCGAGTATTGCCTGGACCCCAATGCTTGATTCCCTGGACAACTGTTCTCGCG